CTATTCTATCTATCTGATCTCTCTCTCTCTCTCTCTCTCTCTCTCTCTCTCTCTAGATTAGGTGTTTTTTCTTTTATTTGGGGCGTTTAATTTGGTGATTGCCTTGTTTTGGGGCTAAATTTGGTGGTTGGTTTCGTTTTAGTGCTAATTTTGGCTAATTTTTATTTTGCAGATCCTGCGCTCGGATCCCATTGAGACCGAGCAAGCTGTCCTTCGCCTTCCTCCATTCCCCTTTGATTCAAAAGGCACTCCTGGTTCCAAGCCCTAATAATGTTAGTTCTTCATTGCATTTTTCAGCTACATTTTATATTAATGAAATTTCAGTAATTATAACCTCTTTCGTAATTTTGTATTTTACATGTTCAGTGAAGTTTGAAATTTAGAGGGAAATTATCTTTTTTTGGAAGTTTAGAGGAAACATTTTAGTGGCATGTTCAGTGTGGTATGAAATTTAGAGGGAAAAAATTTAGTGGTAATAGTAAATAGAGTGAAATTTTGACAAAGATTATGAGCAAGACATAGAGAACATATGCTATTAGAAAGTCTCGAAAAACACATAGTGCGTGTCCAGTTTCTAAATTATCTTAGTGTAATCAGAATTTTTGCCATTTTTTTATTTCTCTTCTTAACATTTTCTACTTATAATGTCCTGAGGTAGTCAAATTGTCCCTGATTTTTTACAATGATTATTTGGCTTAGAATATTTATTTCTACTTTAATAGTTAAGAGTTTATTATAGTTTTAGTTAGCAAGAAATCAAATCCATGCAATGTTTGTCATCAGCATGAGGGTTGGGACTGCTATGTAACATAGATTATTTACTGAAGATAATTTCGTGTATCTGGCACATTTATAATGGCAAGTAGAGTTTAATGTTGAAATCATAGATGATTAGGAGTTTCTTGCTCGGTGATTACTTGCAAAGTAGATTTTAATCCATAGCAATCATGTTTAGGATTTAATTGCAAGTTATCAAGCCCCATATTCTACAAATCGTAGTCCATGAAAATTTCATGGCTTGATCATCTTTTTATTGGTTTAATGGTGTTTTCATTGCCCAGAAACAGCATTTTCACGTCAATTAAATTGATCCTTGTGTATAATCATTATCCATTGGATGCTTTTACAGTAACTACAGCAACTTAAACTCTGAATAACAATTTTATGTCCTCAGAAATTAAGTTAGCCACTTGAATTTTCAATTTTATTGATTAGAACTCTGGATACTTTCTAGTCAGTAATTAACTCGCAAACCTCTGCCCATTATGTCGTTTTATACTGATTATGCTGTTATGCAACCCACTGAAAAGAAGACAATGTTGTGCTATCTGTGAAAGCTTAAAAAGAAAATAAAGATAACTTGAGAACTATAAGAAGGAATCAATCAAGTGTTGTCTTTCTTAGAACCTTGTTAAGCTAGGTTTCACCAATTCTATCTTATTTTGTTTAATTACGTCCTGCAAAGGTTTAAAACTTGCTTTCCCAGAAAAAAAATAAAATAAATTGACAATCATTTTGCTTTGTAAAACAGGGTGTGCACTTTGAAGTAGTACAGAATGAAGTACATGTTCAACTCATTGATATTGAGAGTATTTCACTATTGGTAAAAGTGGACAATGAAGTGTATGATTTATCCATTTTTCATAGTCCACTATTGATGAGATGGAACTCCATAACTGTTGAGGTACATAAGATATCTATCAAATAACCAGTATATGGTACTTATGCATATCGGTGACAAAATTTTGTAAAATATTTTCAATTGATAGCGGAAAACAAAGCACGGGTCTATTCTGTCAGGCAAGGCTTGTAATTGATGAAACGAAAGCCCAATAGAAATTGAGATATATAAAATGAACGTTCTTTCTATCCATTTGTGACTTTATCTTATTCAAATTTATAAATTAATTATCTGTAGAGAATTTTAGCTATTGGTGAGTGAAACATTTTTGGTGACCGAGTTTTCTCTTTATTTTCTTTGTTTTCGTGGATAAGTAAGGAATCTGGACATGGAAAAATATTCAAGTCAATCTGTAGCACTCGATCCAATCCAAATCTTACATCATGTATTTGATGCAAAAATTGTTTTTTGTCTAGTTAAGACACTTAGGTTTGGAGTGTTTGCTTGTTTTGTTAGAATTATAGAATATTATTGGGGCAACAACCCCATTTCCATACAACTAATTAGCGCGGAAATTTTGCACAACTCGGTCCCAATAGCTGTGTTGGGTCTCGAGCTATATGACTTAACTATTCCCTATGTGACTATGAATGATAGAATTCCTATGATTTTGTATTGTGGATGCATGTCTTTTGGTGACTTTACGTCTGCCTACTGTTCACCTTTACCCGGACATCTAGAAATGTGGGACTTAGAGGCTTCCCACCAAATGTTTTGGGGTAGGCCCCATCTTCCAAGCTTAGCCCCTAGGAGTCGTTGTTCCTCGGCATCCTCATAAACAGTCGATAAATAGGTTCAACCTAGTCAACCAACCAAATGTAGTTAATCATGGGTTAGTTTGGGTTAGGTTCTTCCAGACCAGAACGGAGGGCTCCGGGTGTCTTTGAGAGCCTAAGAACAAGGAAAAAGAGGGTTAGGACATCGTTGAGACACTTAATATAATGTTTCTCATAGTTGGAAATTCGTGTTATATGATTTTTGTGCCATCACCAGAGAAGTGGGCCTTCTTATCTATTCCATGTAGTAGGAGTAAACTTCAATATGGTTTATGCTATTGTGCAATGCGTGGTTAATCTTTGTAATACCCTTGTATGGCATCCATCCAGATAATGACGCATTTTGAAGTTATCTCACATGCTCTTATGCGCATACTTCCTCATATCTCACAATGAAAATGAATTACAGTAGTTTACATCTGCACTGGATTTGAAAATGACAATAGATCTTTCTCTCTTGCATTTAGAATTTTGTTTTCCATCAATTTGTTAGGGCTTAGGGCCAAGCTTCATAGTAAAAAATGCACGCTGTTACTGAAGAAAATGCTGCAATTGACAACGGCGACAGTATACTTCTTGAAACTTCCAAGATGAGTTCAACACAGAGTTACCCCGACACTTGGATATTTCCTTTGCTGTCGCATGTTGACACTCTCCAACACTTGTCCATACATATCAAATGACATCATTATTTTTCAGTATCGTGTCGATACTTCTTTAAGAAGTGTCTTATATAATTACCTGCAGTTTTCTATCATAAAAGTTTAAAAAGTCTCGTGGTAGCACAGCCTGCCATTTATAATAATTTTTCTAGGTTTTAATCCCACTGCTTGAGTTCACCGAAGCTTAAAAGAATTTAAATTTTTTACTCCACGTGGGGGTTATGTAAGTGGTTTTAAAATATTTTTAGAACAACTTATGCTAGGCTAGGATTCGAATCCTACACCTCTTGCCATCAACAGCCACCACTACCACTCCACCTATTTAGATTTATTTGAACATGATGGGATACTATATTACATAGAATGAACAACATTATGTTCTTCAAAATAACACGCCACCAAAAACTCACAAGTGGGCTCGAACTCACAACGCCTTGGCTCATAAAATGTTGCACTTACCTCTATGACTCCGCCACTTAGTGCACATATAAGAATGATAGGAAGTTATATTATATATTGTATTATCTTATTCAGTGATATTCTTATGGACATGTTGGGGAAGATTTGGGTTTTTGTCCCTACACACTAAACACTCAGATACGTCCTGAAGCAAGACCTCTTTCAGTATCACTAGTTAACGGAAGAACTGCCATGTGTGTAAAAATCTGCATAAATTATACGACTTATTACATGATTCAAGGCATATATGCCCCCAATGTTGTTCGGAGAATGGAATTACTCACATATCAGAATCATGTGACAAGAGATTCTCAATTTCTATATCATTGATACTTTTGGAGGAGTTGGAGAAAAGGGATCTCTCTCTCAATTTCTGGGTTCCCTTTCCACGTGCTTAGGTGAGACAAGACTGCATTTTTGTTCTTCCCAGTTTTTGTTTTTATGCTTCTTTTATTAAATTACCTTTTCTCTATAGGACCTTACACATTCTTTTTCTTTTACAGAAGTGCTTTTTTTGTCAGGATATTTACTCCTACCACTTTTACTTTTATTCTTCGAACACCTGTGGTCTTTCATTTCACTTTGATATTTGCCTGTCCTTTTTTTTTTCTCTATGGGTCACTATATATCTTCTTGATGCCTCTTTCCTGAGTTTCACATAGACATTGCGTTGTCTCCATTTTCTAGTGAGAAGACCGTACCTCAGCCTTTCTAGTAAAACTTTTTCTGACCAGCATTCCCTGATTCGCTCTTCATTTTGACGCCTCTTTTCTAATTCTGTTTTTCTAATAATTCTATATCTTTTTTTGTGTGTGTGTGTTGTGAAGCATGTCCATATTTGTTGTTGAGTTCTTTCATTTATGCTCATTACTTTTTAGTTCTCCCATTTACTGGCGGGGTTTCTTTTATCATGGAACATTTTCATCATCTTTCAATTGCTTTCACTGAATTTGCTCTCTCTCTCTCTCTCTCTTTTATAAGCATTTATTGGAAGAGTCTATGATAGCAATTAGGTTTGGACCAGTATGCTAGTAGCTCCCCAACCATCCAACTGTAAACTACAGGTAGCTGAGGTGTCTTGTTCCTTTCCTCAAATTATGTGGATTTTTTTTTATTTGCATCCAAAAATATGAAGTGTAGTATATTTATTTTGCATTTTTTGATGGACTCCTTAACCAATTTCTTGAAAATCCTTTTTAGAAAAAGTTTATATAAGGTTGCAACCTTAAAATGCAGAAAAAAAGCACACCTAAAAAATTTATCAAAAAATTGTTGTTTTGAGGATGAAAAATCCTCTAATTGATCATCTCAACCTCAAGATGTATGGATGTAGGAAAAAAAAAAAAGATTTTAAAGTACAAAAAATGGTGTATCTTATAATGCATTATTTAGACCTTTTTTTTAGTACAAAAAATCTATCTGTACCATTTTTTGAGTTTTAAATTTCAGAATTAGACCTGAACTAGTTTTTCAGGTCGTCATTGAAATTTCTGACACCAAAATTACATCTTTTAATAAATTACATCTTTTGATGAGCTTTTGGGGTTGCTTCTTAATTGCATTGTTTAAGGTTGACCCCATCTCATGTGAATAAATACCCAACATCGAAGAGATAAGGTCTCGACCTTATTGGTTAGGTATTTTCTAACTCAATGATTGTGAGATTTGATCTTGACTTCTTGAGATGATGTGAGATTTCTAGTGAATTCACTAGCCATCTAGTGTTTGTAATGGGATTTGAACCTAGTCATGAAAAGGAAAAAGTTTATATAAAGTTGCAATCTTAAAATGTAGAATTACATTTGCACCTTAAAAATCTATCGGAAAAGTTGTTTTAGTGTTGAAAAACCCTCTAATTGATCATGTCGACATTGAGATATATGAATATGAAGAAGAAAAAAAATAATATTGAGTCTCAGAAATAGTGCATCTTGCAATACATTATCTAGACCGTCCACTTTCAAGATTTTCATATGTTTATAGATCTATTTTATTTTAACCATTTTTGGAGTTTAAAATTTTCTAATTAGATATGAAAATAGATTTTTAGATAATCCTACGAATGTTTTACAACCAAATTATATATTAAGATAAAATTTGGAGGTGTGCCTTAATTGGATCTCTGCCTAGAGTTAAAAATAAATAACTACAATGTGTGTGCATGGGTTTAAACCAGACTCAAAAC